AAACCTATTTGAGATATAGTGGGCACTAAACCTGACAAACATGTTAACTAACATAATTTCACACAATTAATGAGCTAAAATAATACCATAGTCAATTAAGGCCCACCTATTACAATTCAACACTGCAGCAGCCTGATTTCGCAGATGTCCCAACTTCGAATCCGTTTGCCTATCCCGTTATTAACAATAGTTTTAATTTAATTGGATAGATGAAATGAGATTGCCAAAAATTAACACATTTTTGAACGATGGATTTGACAGTGGTTGATATTCAATTTCAAAATTATCAGGTAAATTATATCATAACAATGTAATCAACATCAAATACTGTTTACAAGAATGTTTTGATTTATTTTATTTTTTCAAGGTAGTTTTTATTATGTTTTAACATTCATATCGCAAATTCTCATTTAGGTTTGAATACAAGTAAATCGTATTTTTTATGTTAAAAATAAAATAGCATACATTCTTATTTAATCAATACAAAGAAATTATCCAAAAATTTAGAAGACGTAAAATCAATTGCACGGTTAAAAATTCTACCCTTCCAGTAAATGATTTATAAGAGAGTCTAATATCATATATTTTTTTTTAATAATGACTATATGGTATCTTCCTATCTGGTGCCAGTAATTAATTTATATTTAAATATTATCAGGCATAAATGGGAGCAATTCTTTCAGCATATAAATTTTTAATTTACAAGGTAACCTTTGATATTGCTTCAGGAATTGAATTTATTTTACTTGATCCCAATCACTTTTGATAATTGGTAATGGAGAGTGAAAACTGTCCATAGAAGAACTCAATGAAACATGTGGTTGGGGGGGGGGGAGTTTCTTATGAGCTAAGAGTAAGTTGCTTTTGTTTCTTTTGGAGGTGTTAGCGTTGGTAAACAAAGCACACTCACTACACCCCACTTTGTGATGCATGTATTTATGAAGCCTTGATAAATTATTGTTATTAGTATTATTATTATGTCTATAAAAGCAAAAGCATGAAGCAGAGATGAGACCCCCATGTTCTCTCATTGCTGCTATCTTAAGCAAAGACATTCAATTCAAAATCCACCATTCTCTTCTTATCATTTTCTTTCTCCTTTGAATTTTGTTCCCAATCAATTTGACTCTTTCTCACCTAATACACAAAAACACCTTCTCAGGCAAGGAAAGTACCACTCCTTTCTGCTTCCACTTTTGAACTTTTCTATTCTTTTTTTCCCCTCAAATCCATTTCTTCCATGCTAAATCATAAACAATTTAAAGAATAAGAAACTCGGCCTAATAAACAGTGGAGAAGAAAAAAACTTTTTTTCTTCTTTGAAAACAATAGCTGTTGACATAAAGTGCTGCTGTATGATTCATCCATCCACTAAGGACCAAATACTGAAATTAAAAGTAACATATCCTTCCCATAAGCTTCCCCACAGAATACTTACAATGGATTAAGAAAACCTTTTACTGTGAAAACAAAATTAACTGTTGAGTTGTTCTAATTAAGGTTGCCTAAGAGTAGAGTCAGTATCAGGATCAAATGCTTAGATAATAGATATAATGTTAAGCAGATAGAAATCTCCATTTGCTCAGTTACAAGTGATGCTATGCATATGATGTGAATTTCAAGGAGAGTTCATGAATGAAATGAAAAGTCAGTTTTATCATGCTTTTCATCTGAAATATACATGATAATTGATAGCAACTAACTTTTTCTCTGTCATCCAATAGACAATGCACAGCCTGGCAAAGCTGACTTATTACACCTTCAACCAAAAAATTCGCATTTCATGAACGTTAAGCAAACCCTTCCTCAATGAACGTGGATCGTTTTCGCACTCTTCAGTTTCCGTTCATCAAATTAATGCGTGCATTTCAGGGGAAGTTATTCTGGGAATCTCTTATGTCTCGCCAAAATGCTTAATCTGCTCTATTTTTCCCAATTATAAAATCAGGCGCATGAGCACTTTCTCTCAGGCCATGTCATCCAACACTATTTTCAAGGAACATATTCCATCCTTGTCACTCAACAGAGGATTTTGCACTGAAATCTACCCTTTCATTCTACTTAACTACATTATTTCTCCCACAAGAATAGCACAGAAATCTTTAAAGCATGGCCTGATAATAATAATAATAATAATAATCAAAAGCCAGATAATTCAAGGATATCTCGCAAGTCAGATGAAATACCGCTTCAACTATGAATCAAGGAAAAACCACTGCTTTTTCCTCCACGCGCTTCGTCAACAGCAGCTTCTCTGATTTTAGTTTAGTGTACCCTTGTTGGTTTATCATATCAAAGAGATATGTGTTACATCACAGTCCAGTGGATCGGGATATTTCTAAAAGCTGAGACCTGAGAAAGCAATAGAGGGGTAAAATAGACCAATCATGAGGTGAATGTAATTTTCCAACAAGATCAGAGATATAGATTAGGAAAGCATGACATCACATATGACATCCATCATCATAAAGGATATAACTTATTAAGAGGGGGGGGGGGAAGGAAAATGATCATTTAAATTTCAGACAGGAAATTTCAATCATTCAACAACCCCAGAAGTTGAAATTAATCAGTAACGTACCCAATATTAGATGAAGGAACAGCAATGAACATCAAATTGGGAAATTGTTAGTGTACAAGGCCCTCAATTTTAAAATAGTAATTAAACGCACGTCCCAATGAAATTTCAATACTCGTGAACTCAAGATTGAGGGGCCAATAGAATCTCAGGAGATATTTCAAATAAAATAAATAAATAAGCTTCACGTTTTGAATGATCACTTTATGATGACATAAAAAGCTGAGACATAACAAACAATAGGCAAGGTAAAAGATGTTAGACTATTGATTACATCCTTGTTTAAAATAATTTCAAACATTAGTCTGTTAAGTACAGCCCTGCCCCCACTTTATATGTATATATATTGGTCTGGTCTCCTTCAACCATTAGCTTCAACCTCATTGTGAGTCAGTCATTCTCCAGTTTTTTTTTAATTTTTTTGCCTTTTGTTTTTGGGGCGAACAAGAGCCCGAGGAATTTAAGTCTGAAGAGAACTGTGAGAGGTAAATTGAATAGTCGAAGAGAATGGAAAGGATGAACTTTGTGAAGAATGGAGTTTGCAGATTGCCTCCTGGATTTAGGTTCCAGCCAACAGATGAAGAGCTCGTGTTTCAGTACTTGAAATGCAAGGTTCTTTCATGTCCACTGCCTACATCAATCATTCCTGAAATCAATGTCTGCAACTACGATCCTTGGGATTTGCCAGGTGACTCAACCATAAAGACCTTTACTTATTCAAGAGGAATATAATCATACATAATGTATGTATGTATTTATGCTTCTACTGCATCTGCATTAATAATTTGGTTCATGTATAAATGTAGGTAACTGTGAAGAGCAAGAGAGGTACTTCTTCAGTTACAAAGAAGCGAAATACAGAAATGGTAATCGCATGAACCGAAACACCAAGCCTGGGCATTGGAAGGCAACCGGTTCAGAGAAGAAAATATCATCCCCAACCAATAATAATAAAAATAATAATTGCAGTTTTTCTGGGGTAAGAAAAACCTTAGTTTTTTACGAAGGGAAGACTCCAAACGGCTTCAGAACTAACTGGGTGATGCACGAATATCGGCTTGTCATTGCAGAAACCAGTGGTCACAACTCAACACACTTGGTATGTAAATTCTGATCCTTTAGGGTTAATCAACTATAATGCAATGTCAGCAATATGTTGGCAAAGAACTAAAGAGCAAGTATTTGCAGAATCATGGGAGCGAGGTGGGAGATTGGGTTCTGTGTCGGATAAGCATGAAGACGAGAAGCGAAGGTAGTGAGGTGGGGGAAAGAAGATTGTTTTATTTTACGAGGGAACTCCATTATTCTGACCCGTCATCGTCTTGTTCCAGTTCAAGCGACATCACAGAGGTGGTTTCACGCGTAGCAGATCATGAAGAAACAAGTGCCTGTAGTAACTATAATCTTGACTTTTGAACATTAATTATAAGATTGAACCCCTTCAATTGAATTTATACATGTGTCGGTGTAAGGATCAAATGCCTGAACTTAAATTTTTCCGCCCACTCTAATTTCTTCCTTATCGACACAATGAGGAGCCATTTGGATCTGATGAGGTTCATTTATAATAACATGATCTTCCTCTTCTCGTTTGTTTGATACGAAACTATTTCTGTAAAATCCTCCTCATTATAATTTCCCTGTGGACTCAATTTATGTTGCCCCATTGACTTGATTTTTCCGATTTTCAAAACAGTAAAGAGAAATTAATAAAATTGGCTCTTTTCTGGCGAAAAAGAAAAACAGTAAAGGGAAAAAAGAAAAAAAGTCATGAAAATGAAACTAAATTAGGTGGTAGTAGATGGAACCTAAAGTGTATTGAAATTTTTACGTTTTTAACACAGTATATTAGATTATCAGCAAATTAATGCTTGCGCGATAAAGACGCGCGCGCGCGCGCGCGCGCATAGGTATAGCTATCCCGTGAATTTTTCTAGGCTGTGTTTTGATTTTCGACATTTGTTTAATAGTTTAAGTTAATCGAAATTGAAATTCGATCTCTATAGGCAGGCTTTTAAGATATTCTCTTCTTCTTCTTGCCGTTTTTTGTTTTTAAGAGTCAGCAGAATTAATGAAGAAATTTTCTGAAACCAGCCTGATAAAATTTAACTAAAAATAACATATCAAAATTTACACGTATTCCTAATTTGGATCGTAACTAGTGTCAATGATTCATATTTTCCACTTGCAGGCCCAAATGAAAAAATTTTGATGGGCCATCGAGGCCTCTTTAATCTTATGGGCCTACATGGAAGTTGTGGTCTGTGAATCTTAGTGACGTGTCAATCCTGCGCTTGGCCCAAAAAACAAAAGAGTAATTATGTGATTCTATTTCAAATGACGTGGACCAAAAAGTAACAGAATTCGTTGCTTCAATCTTTAATTACCATTTCATTGGCGCCGAAAACGTTGTAGGATGTTACGTACGGTCATACGGACAAGGCAAAGCCATTTCACATTTCCACATTATATCCCAACCAAATTGACGCCTTCCATCAATAACGAAGAAATTCGTTACCAGCGCCAAAAAAAAAAAAAAAAAATTCTTTATGTTCTCGAAAATGGCAAATTGAGTATACTTAATTAATTAATCTAATATTAATCCAGATGAAATCATAATCCCTTGTCTATGATTATCCACCATTACCTGTAAACACAGTCTGTACCCGCCCAACACCGCCTCTATATATTTCTCCATTATGTTGCTCCCATTCTCATCAACAAATCTTCAAGTCCCTTGAGAGTTGCAGCAGAATAATACATCTGCGCCCAACCTCTTCATCATCATCATCATCTTGTTCTTCTTCTTTTTCCTACAATGGGGTGTGGCAGTTCGAGGATGAATTCTGTTGAAGAGGCCATGCCTGAAAAAACTCGCCCCCTCTTTTTCCGTCGTTATGAGGAAATTACGAAACACAAACAGAGACCGGCAGCCGCCATGCAAAGAGAAAGCACCCTCTCCAAGAAGAAGCTGCTGAAGGAGGATGAAGATATTAACTCTAACTCTTCCGATGAAGCTGAAGCAGTGTACAAGCCGCCGATAACTTCTCCGACGAAGGTTGAACCCACCAACAAAGTGGTCCCGTTACCTGACTCAGACACAGAATATGAAACTTCCACAGAATCAGACGATCACAATGGCAACAACACCACAAAACAAACACCCCATGAAAAAGAGATAGATGCCGAACACGACAAAGATACTCGAGAAGCACAAGCAGAGAATGAACATGAGCTGGCAGATGAGAAAAACAATGATGTTGATGATTTTGATTTTGGCAGACTCGTTTGTCCGGGTTCCCCGAGCTTTAGAATTTATTGCCTTCCTCCCCAGAATGACAAGGCCGAGAGTGAGTGTTTTCTGCAAATTCAAATAAAATTTACCATAACACGCTTTTCTGCAGATCCAAACAAAATCTCGTGTTAAATAAATGCAGATAAGAGCCAAGAAATGGCCACTCACCAGAAATCAAGCAGTGTTGAGAGCGTGCAAAGCCCTGCTTCTGGGCACGTCAAGACACCGAGTGTTGACAGTATACGTAGTGCTGCATCATCACAGAACTCAAAAATCTTCAACGAGGTGGGCAGTTTCAACTTATTTCCCTTTTAATTTTATCTATCTATCTATCTATCTATCTATCTCCCCAAATGGAACAATGATTGCATGCATAACAATATGCTTCAAGATATTTTCCCTCACATTTCTCTTCTGATTTCTTGGTTCAGTGCGCTGAAACACAATCAACTACCAAGAGAAGAACAAACAGAAAGAAGAAATTCCGGGATGTGAAGAATATACTCGTTGTTAAATCATTATACGCGAGTTGCTCATGCACTGGGGCTGACAGAAATCGTCTTGTTGCTGCGAAAGCAATGAAATGACAGTGACATTGTATAGATGTTAGAAAGAATGAAGACAGCCAACCTATACTCAATATTTCATTTTGTTCCCGAGTTCCCCTCATCAGGAGGATTATTAGGGAGCATGCCAGTATCAATAATACATACAACATAAGTAGCTTGTCTTTACTCCTCATGTAATGCATATTACGTTTTCAAATGTTAAATCGATTTACTCTACACAATATTGTTCAATCACATAAGTCAATTCCTCTTGTTCGCTTCAAAGACTCAACCTGCAGCTATAACAATTCACTTTGAAGTTCGAACACATTTACAATCATCGAATTGATTTAAAAGTAACTCATCCAAGTCTTACATTGCAACACTTAATATTATATCTGAACATGTAAACGCATACAAGGACAAACATGAGAAATCTTAAATTATCAAACTCAAATAACAGTGATCTTTGCTACAGACTCAAGAAGGAACAAACATGGCAGAAACTATTCCCAGCAAGCTTGCTTGGACGGAAAGGCAGCATTGAGGAATTCCTCATCTTCCAAAAAAATTTGCAAATCCTTGGACTCCATCAAGAAGTTAACTGCTTCCTCATCGAACTTGAGCAGAAATCCCAACTTGATCAGCTCAGAGAGTGCCCCTACATGATCAACATGCTCACACAGTATGCCTGCAGAGATCATTTCCGAGAAATAAGTGGCATATTTGATCATGCTTGCATTTCCAGATTTCAAGTCCAGCTTCTGGATGATAAGTTCTGAATTTTCCCAACGCATCATCTTGTTCGCCTCCCTAGTAATGGTCCTCCCTGATGATAGTGACAAACTATAGTTTACCGTGATTGGCCCAGTCATCTCATATACTTTAAGGTCAAGAAGACCTCGAACAGCTTCATGCCTCTTCTCTTCTTCCATTTTGAGACTAGAACAAGCAAGAAAACCAAGAATAAGCTTGACCAAACTCTTTCCAATGAAAACAATCCTTGGCTCTACCTCATTGAGTTCCACACCATCTAGTCGGAATGATTCTTCTTTTTGCACAGATTTAGATATAGGGCAAACACCAATTTCCTTGTAGATGTCCAATAATACAAACCTGTCCAACGATGGCAAGCTTGGCTGAGGATACCAAACAAATACTCTCTCATCCTCAAAAAGATTCTTCATATAAAGGTTATCAGCAACAAAAACATGAGACTTGTTAGACAAAAGTATTCCACTAGAGTCTGATGTAACAGGAAGTTTCTTCAAGTTCTCAAAAAGCTTTTCCTTTGTCTTCTTAGTGTTGTGCTTCAAGATAAAACTCCAGAACTTACAGCATTTATAATGTGAAAATTGTTCAACTGAATTCTCCCATTCCTTCCAAAGCTCTATGTAGTCATCAACCTGAGGATTGCTTCTCACGCGCAAAGCTGAGGAGAAAAAAGGAAGCAAATCCTTTTCATAGTATCTCTCCAAAACATAAAACTTTGAACTAAAAAGATTATCCTTGTCATGGATGACACAGTCTTCAGGATTGACAAATTCTCCATTCTGATCTCCATCTGGAATCCAAATCATCTTCCGTTTATCAGTTTCTTCCTCTGGCATCCAATCATATTTACTCAAATACTTGTAAATGCGCACTATGGTGGAAAAATTGGAATGGTAGCTAAGGTAACCAGCCATTACTGAGAGCCCTTCGTGACAACTAGAAATAACCCCTATTGCAATGAGTTCCTTTTTGTAAGATGTAATTTTTGATCCGTAAAAAGTCTCATCAATGAAGGGTCCATCCATTGGCTCCAATTTCCACTGAGAATCAAACAACAAACATCTTTTTGGAGTTTCATAGCCAACTTGGGTCTTCAACCATTTTCTTGACAACTGTTCTCCAAAGTCATCAAAGGATTGAGGACGCTCTTGCATTAAGCGAATACATTCCAGCAAAGAAAACACATTTTCAGGAGTTATGGAGGAAGGATCAGAAGGAAACCTTAGACCAGCAGAGATTAGCTTCAGTCCATCTTTCACTTCAATAGCAACTCCCATGCTTTTCAATTCTTCCTTATACTCAGAGATGCCCTTGCCATAAAAATTATCGCTATCATCAATGAAAGGGAGACGAGTAATTGCAGAGAGAGATTCCCATGCTGGACCAAACAAAATGCAATCTTTGGGAGGCTTATGAGCACCAAGGCGAGTCCGCAACCACTCGACAGTTCTTAAAATTGCCAAAAAACTTGAAGGAAATGCATATTGAGCTTCCTTCAGGTGTCTGTAGCAGAAGAGAAATGACTCCACATGCTGCTTGGTAAGGGAAGCTTGAGATGCCTTTAGCTTGAAAACTGCACCAAATGCTTCGATTGCATCCTCAAAATCAACCACCACTCCCGTTCTCTTCAGCTCATCCTTGTAAGTCATAATCTTGTTCCCATAGAAATTATGATCAATCACAGGGGAAATATTGAATACCTCAAGAATACAACCCCATACAGGATCAGATAAGTAACAACCACGCGGAGCTTTGAACCCTTTACTCGTCATCAAGCAATTTGATCCTTGAAGCGCACTGACAAGCTTGCCAGAGACATTTGAGAAATGCATGCATTCTAGTATCAATATAATAGCCTCGGCCGTGAAATTGATCAAATTATAGGATGATTTTAAGTGGTCAATAACAAGTTGGTATCTTCCACAAAAGCCAACCATCACACCCAGCAATTGAAGTTCCTCCTTGAAATTATATATTTCATTACCATAGTAAGAGTCGTCAATGAATGGGAGATTGCTGATTTGAGATGCAATTTCCCACTCAGAATCATACAAGATAGCTCTATCAGGAGACCTGTAATCGTAACATGTCTTGAGCCACCTTCCATTTTTTATGCTGCTCACAAACTCACCCGAGGGGAAATGATTTTGCCTTAGATATCTGATGAACTGAAGCATAGACAAAACTTGCACTCTACTCAAAGTGAAAGAAGCTGCCCGAGACATGAGTTCTTTCCCAATAAATGCACATGCCTCCTTATAACTGAACATCACTCCAATTGTTTTCAACTCGTCCTCGTACTCATCTAGTTTTTTCCCATAAAATATCTGATCAACCACTGGAATGTCAACAAGAACAGATCTATTTTGCAGCAGGTTTCTCAATGTTGAGTCGACTAAGAATGACTTGGAAGGTGGCCTATACCCATTGATTGTAACTTTCAGCCAACTACCTTCCCTTACGGATTTCAGGAACCTCTCTGGTAGAATCCCTCTGTACTTCAAATTTTGGATCCAATCCAAAACCAAGAAAGCATTTTCCTTCGTCAAAGGATTATTCACAGCAGAAAAACTAGCATTCGGAGGAGATATGTGAGGTATATCACAAGCTCCAACATGAGTTTTAAGGAAGTCTATAAGTCTCCCCTGGTAGGTATATTGGCCTGCAAATCTGTATGAGTACAAATAGTCTTCTTTCAACTCAACATAGCCTTCATCCCTCCATGGATTAGAAACGATCAAATCTGCCCATTTGCTCTCCTTAGCCGGCACGAGAACCCCTTCTCTGCACGTGGACACGCGACCATAATTGTCTACTAGTGGCATAGATTTGCATAGATCATCAACCTGCCACCTTGACAAATATTGCCTTAAGAATGAGTGATATAAGAAATGTGAATAAGCAAGAGCATGATTGCATTTATTGCCAATAGAATGGCATATGAGATTTGCATAATCATATGCACCTACAGTAGAAAAATTAATTTCTTTTCCCAGCCATCCCAACAAGGTCTGTTTCCGGGGAAATTTCTGTATTGCCTCCTGTGTGGTTTCTGGCATAAAATAATGATTGCCTGCACAAGAGAATTCCCTGTTCCATGAAATCAGCCACGAGATAGGGCAGGATTGGTTCGGATCAGCTAAAAGAATCTTCACAGAACCTTGGCTCCTCTCACATTTATCAAGATCGAAACAGGACAGATTTCCATCCGAACGAACACATTTGATTAGAGGAGTAAACTTCATATTGGAGGACCAGATTCTGGACCCCCAATTCTCGGCAATAAACAATAAAAGCTGCAAGTAGGCATCTTCTGATACTCCCAACACGAGATTAGAACTCTGAATACACTTTGCATACCATTCATGACTGACTAGTTGTACACCCAAGAAGTCTAGTATGTGATCAAACTGAACCTGATCGAATGAAGAATGTAGGATATAACTTCCATGGGATGATAGGTTACCCAAGTGTACTCCTTGCTCTTTGGCCTTTGTTAAAACATCCCAAAAAGCAGGCAATAGTCTGCCAACTTCACGAGGCTTATAAAAGTGCTTCTGTTTCGAGTATGTCTCACTAGGAACAATGCTTTCTTCAACCACCTTTGCTTTGATTTCATCCCTTATGTCATTTAACTCCTGATAGGAAGATATATTAAGTGGTAGGAATTGAAAGAACCGGATCAAACTGGATATTGGAGGATCTGGTGAGATAACAAGTGATTTGAATGCATCCATAAAAGCCGAAGGAATACAGTTGAGTATACCTTGGTTCCACTTATCATCCAAGAGAATTGTCTCTCTTGATGAAGCCAACACAAAATCTGCTTGAATTATGAAAGGGAAATTTGTGACCATCTCTGTAGGAAGAAATGCGTAGATCCCAGGTGAACTCCTTCCCCTGTGAAGCCTCTCCTGATTTGGAAAGGCTAATGTGACAACCCACTCCTCCACATCCATTCTCCTTTCCACTCGATTTTCTGGCCTTACAGGAAATCTTTGCCTCCACATGTGGTACATACATTCTTTTTCAGAATCCCCATTTTCCTCAGAAGATAAACAAAGAGTATAGGACTTGGCATTCATGTTTTTCCTTGTCATGAAATTAATCTCACTTGAAATGGCTATGGCAGTTACAGTATTAAGCCTGGGATCCTCGTTATCTTCCCTCACTGAAAGCCGTTTGATTTTTGAAAGAAATAGAAGAACCTCTGGATGAATGTTGGAGAGCTGTTGTTTCACCGGTCCAACTTTGTCTGGCTTCAAAGGAAATATAATGATTGTGGTTGGACGAGAATCATCCACACCACATATCTGCTCTATCTCTTCAAGTGTTGGGTTCTCCTCAACCCATTCTGGAACTATATATCCAAGACCGCAATGCTGACAAGGCTCCTCATTGAAACGTATCTGATATCCGTTGCTGAAAATGTAAGGTGTAGTAGTAATCAAGAACACACTCTTGAAACCAATCCCTGCAATTTAACCAAAGACCTTTTATCAGCGTTACTTCATATGCTGCTTGTAAAATAGTAACATGCTTAGATAGTTGCACACAAGTTAAAATTATCTATGAAAATACATTCCCTCGCCCTCTGGTAACCTCACAATGAGTGGATGAGTTAATTATATGAACTGCCATTTATTCAGGCTTCATGATACTACTAAATTATTTACCTCATCTTTAATGATTGAAAGCACTTAAACTCAGTTCGTGAAGAAAAGACACGGTCTACTAAGAAAATATCAAGAGTAATAAATTAAAGTACCTTTCTCCCCTATATAACCACTTCTTCTGTTGCCCTTCTTGGTGGAGCGTCCGACACTACAAATGGATTCGATGTTTTTCGGAGAAAAACCCTTCTCATTGTTCAAAATGAGTAATGTGGCTGGAGCTCGTGTGGCTGTTATGTCCTTTGATGTTATGATGAATTCAAGCGTTGGATTTACCCCCTCATTGTAATGGTTATCTTCTGCGTTCTGTGATGGTAATGCAAGCAAGTGATGTTAGAGAATCAATCACTATATAATATTATTCTATGAAATTTGATCTCATCATTTCTATGAATCAGAAATGTAATATTATTCATGCTCGGCCCTTTTCCAGTGTTGATATTTTTGCCAAGCACCATATGAAGATTATATGAAGAATAAATAGCATGAAGCATGATGAGATTCTATATACAAGTTATTTCAAAAGGCTTAACAAGGAAATTGTGTTATGGTAAACTTGTTATGGTGAGAGAGGCAGTAAAGTATATCATGTTAGTTAATGGCTAGAACACATCCATTTGATAGTAGAATTTGAATCAAAAGAAACAAAATTAACTTTATAATAAATTAACAATCAACAAACTTTATTTTTTAAAAAAAGCCTCGTCTTTGAATTATGAATCATTTTATTAAATTTCATTGGCGCTTGAGTGGGTAAATATAGAGTTCTTCGTTTTATTTTTCCATATCTAATTACAATTATAATTTATAAAAATATTTTTTGGCAATAAAAAATTTTTATTTTTTATTAAAGTTACAAGCAACTTAATTTTTTTCTTTTTATTTTAATCTTCATATCATATATTATAAAGTGATCATGATCTAACTATTGCCCTAGTCATTTCTTCTATGCTAGCACATTTGGTGGTCATCAAATCACCTCTAAAATAATTTGGATTGTTTAAAGGATTAATATACAATTGAGACATTGAATTATAGTCCGTAGGCTATTTAAACCCTACACTTAAAATTAATATATTTTAAATTTTAAATAATTAAATTTAAAGTATTCCCAACCCCACTATTAACTTATAATAAACGTCCATCTTGGGGGATCAGATGTGCAAACAGGTGGCAAGGATTTTTGCCCCTCGCTGACATGGTTGAATTTTGTTGCTTCCCTCTCTCATGTCCCTGCAAACCTTCTTCCTGCTTTCACACCATCTTCCTCCCTCCTTTCTCCCACACAAGTCCAATTTTCGTGCACATCGTGTGATCATAAAACGAGCAATCTAGGCTATTCAGAATTTTAACTTGAAAGGTCCAAATTTTAAGCAAAGTTTTAAGACCCGGACCGACCCGGACGGTCGGACCGGTCGGACCGTCGCCCGCTGAAGAAAACAGGCTGGTTCAACCAATTAACCCGGATTAGCAGTTGGCCCGGGTTGCCCGCCTAAAACCGGACGGTTTTTAAAGACCCGGGAAAAACCCGGAACCCGGAGCGGGTTTTACAGGTCAACAGCGGGTCGCAAAAAAATGACAAAATTGATATTTTTAAAAATAAAAAACCCTTCTCCTCACTCTGTCTAGCAGATCAACACCTATAAGGACCCATTCTTCTTCTTTTTAGTCTCACTTCTCTCCGTCTAGCACAATGCACGCACTCATTCTCGTCACCTTCTCAAATCTCAGCCATCTGGGTTTTGTTCTATGTGTCATCTCCCTCAAGCCACTCAGCCTTCTAGGCTCTGTCTTCACCGTTCAGCCATCTTGGACTCGCCTTCTCAACCATTTGGGTTCTATGTTCACCCTTTGTTGTCTTCACCATTTAACTTTAGCCATCTCAAACTCTCTCAAACTTCAAATGCTTCTTTGTTCTTCATCTTCACTTCACTTTCTTCATTTTGGTTTGTGACTTCGTGTTCTTGATTTATTCTAGTATAGGCATCCAGTTGTTGAAAACAGTCAGATGGCGTCGAGCTCGACCCCTTTCATGATTCTTCATCTTCTTTGTTGATTGCTCTCTCTCTCTCTCAGTCCCGGTGAGATTTTCTTTCTCCCTCATTTATATCTCTACCCAATTTAATGTAATCTCTATGGTTCTAAATGGAGTAGAATGAATGCTAATAGATGAGCTTGCTTTTTATTATCTGAGCTGTTTATTGCAGATTGTTGAATGGATAAAGATGAATCTATTTTGTATTGTCTAAGAGTTGTTTATTGCAAATAGAAGTTTTATTTTTTTAAATGATTATGCCTAAATTCTGATGCATTCAAGAATCTAGTGTTGTATTTGTTAACTTGTTTCTTATATATATATATATATATATATATATAAATAATTTTTTATTTAATTATTAGGTCACCGGTCCAACCGCCGGTCTGACCGGTTGAACCATGAGACCCGTGACCCATTGATATTTTCGGTTCGCTGTCCGGTCCGGGTTTTAAAACATTGATTTTAAGATTTTATTTTTATTTTATATTTATTATAAAAATTTAATAAATCTAACTTATCATTAATCTAGACAATACAGATTTAATTTGAATAATTTAATTTAATATTAATTTTTTTAAATTTTTATAAATTGACTATCTAAATATACTCTGAATGGTTTGGATTTGAAACTTTCAAGTTGCAACTTTATCTTAGTTTTTTTTTAAATTGTCAGTTTAAAGATTATCTTTATTTTTTATTTTTTAACATCATATTTACTAAAATAAAAATTTATAAAAATTTTTAAAAAAGTATTATTAAATCTAGATGGTCCTGAATATATCTAGATAGTTAATTTATAAAAATTATAAAAATATTTTAACATTAAATTAAATCATTCATATTAAATCTGTATTATCTAGATTCATAACAAGATAGATTTATTAAAATTTTATAATTTATTATAATAAATATAAAAATAAAATTTTAAAATTTGGACCCTTTAATCTGAGCGATCCAAATTGCTCATAAAATGATCAGCACTCTGAAACCAAGCGCCTCTCATACTCACACCCACCCCTCCAAAACCCCCTCTCTCTCTCGCTTTGCCATCGTCTGTGATAGTCGGTGATGGCTGATGAGGTCTGCAACTAATAACGGAACCCAATGTGCTGTTCTGAATGTCGAAGAAAAACAACGCAAGAATGAAGATTCCTACATTCCGCCTTCGTCCCTTTCTTGCATAAGGTCTCTCCTCCTTTCTCTCTCTAAAGTCTCAAACTTTTTATGTCCACAAAACACTAGTCTAAATATCTGAGGTTGTCAGGTTTGATTATTCACAATTGGTGGCGGAATTCGTGGGAACATTTTTTTGATGTTTACCGAATTAGGCCCTCCCCAATTTGGAGAACCATTCCTTAGTTTTGGTTTCTATCTATGAAGCACCGGTATAGGTACGAGTATTGAATATAATATGATATGATATATGGATACGGTAATTTTTAAAAATTTTAAGATATAAGTATGATTATATAAATAATTAAATATTTAGATACAAATATATAAATAATTAAATAATTAAGTACTATCAAGTGACAATAAATAATGATCAACTTGAATTAATAAATATTAAAAATTTATAGATAATTTTTTGTATATTTTAATCTGAAGAGAGCTAATAAAAAATTAAAAAAATAATAAAAATTATCTAAATTCAAGCTTTGCCATAATTGTAGCTACAAAAACTATCCAGTATCCATCAACTAATGTACTAGCAGACAAGAAATAGAAGAGAGGGAAATTGGAACAAAAACTACAAAATGCGTTAAACATAAGAAAACCAAACATTTTTTAAAATAGGATCATGAAAGAGGATAGAATTAAAGTCAATGGATGAAAGAGGAAACCAAACTTTTTTTTATTTGCTCTCCAATCAGCTCTGTCCACATAATAACAAAGAATAGCAACCAAGCTCAAGAATATTGCCTTGCTAAGTCATGATTGAGGAGGAGAGATAGAGAGCAATACAATGGCTAAGGAAGACACTAAAATAGTGACTAAAGCAGACATAGAGAGTGACAGAGCAACGATGGCTTAAAGAGACAGAGCAATGGAGGAGACACTGCTTGAGCTCGACAGCGAAGGAGGGAAGGACAGCAGTCGGCGACAATGGACGATCACTAGGTCAAAGACAGAGTGACATGAGTTAGGCGAGGGATGTAGGAATGAAAGGGATTGGTCGACATCTCGTGAAGTAGGGCATCTATTCTGAGGAAAAAAAATGCCCAAAACAATGTGTTTCATGTCTTGCCCGTGTCTGCTGGTAGCTACCCATGCCTGGTAGTTTCACAAAGAGAAAAGAGGACACATTACATCCGCATGTAGGACAAGTGTCCGTGTCAGATATGTATCTGACACAAACACAGCGCCCATTTTAGCATATCCATTCTTTAAAGGTTTCTATAGTAGGATTGTGAATTAAAGGGGATTTTTGCGACAAAAATTGACGATGGACAGTTGGTTTAATGGTGGATAGAGTGAAAAGGATGGGAGTAGTAAAGAGAAGGAGAGTATAGGCAAAAATGATGCATTGAGCGATGGAGAAAATGTGAATGGAATTGTGTCTCTTGAGGGAGAAAGAAGAATAGGGAGGCAAAGAAGAAGGTGATAAAGAGAGGGGCTTAGGTTTGTCGGTGATAAAGGAGGCATCTTCAGGGAAGAATACTAAAAGGAGACCCTTGGCCTTTGCGTTTGCCTAAAACTAAGAATCATGATGTTGTACGGTGAAGTTTGCTTCTTCTTTTTCTTCTTTTTCAAGCAACGAGGCACCTATTTGAAAATATTGAGAACCTTTATATGGGTAATTACTCAAGAACGTTTGCATACGGTGGAACTTAAGCATAAAAGAGGACTTACTAGCTCTGCTTAATGCCTGTTAGGATGCCAATCAGGAGAATCTATAATTGCTTCATGATTACCAAAATGCATTGGCGAAGTGGAAAATGCTTGTCAAACCTAATTTATGCAATAAATTCATGAGTCTTTAATAGAGCTATGCAAAGGGATTGTGGGCCAGCCCGCGAGCTAACCCGCACGGGTTAGCACATTAGCGGATTGGGTTGGGTCAGCCCGCCAAGATAAAAAGGCTAAAAAACCCAACCCGTACATTGATAAGCTAGCAAGCTCGTGGGCCAGCCCGCAAAATGTGATTTTATTTTTTAAAATTATTTAAAAATTATAATCAACATATCATATATATAGATAATAATTTTTCTCATTTTATTTTTAAAATAAAATTTGAATATAAATCTAAATCATTTTTATCAACAAATTTATATTTGTAATTTCAATCAATAGATCTTATGAGATTAACAAATAATATATATTCAAAATATTTATATAAAAACTAATAAATAATTAATTTATAAACTATAATAAAAAATTTATTTGCAAATTGTAAGAAATATTTACATTATCTTTTAAATGTAAAGAACATGATTGTGACTCATAAATTATAAATTTGAGAAATATAATCATTATTGTAGATTTATAAGAAGATATATTATAATTGAAAAAATAAATTATTTTTTAAAAAATAGGCTAACCCGCGGGCTAGCCCATTTTAACCAGTCATTTTTGTAGGTTGGGCTAGCATAGCTCATTTTAAAAAATGGACTAATTTTTTCAACTCAACCTATCAAAATTTGCGAGTTGAACAGGCTAGCTTGCAAGCTCAACCTGTTTTTCCAGCTCTAGTCTTTAAGGTTAGGATTGGCTGCCTTGTAATGTAAAACATTAAGTGGGATGAGCTTTCACTCAAAAGATACCTTGGAATTTTCTTTTTGGATATATTTGCTAGGATATTTGGTGTAGTAGGTGCAAATTTATATTTGATAAAGAGGAGTCTAAGGTTGCATCTAATATTCTTAATAGTTTTTGCAAAGCCTGTGCTGATTACAAGCTTAGTAATTCCCCCCCTTTATGGTCATAGTTCCCATATTAGAACTAAGTGGAAACCCCCTTAAGAAGGGTACTTTCGTCTTGATATTGATAAATCTGTTCTTACTAATGGTAAAGCTGTTTGTGGAAGGGTTATAAAAGATAATAAAGGTGAATGGGTTAGAGGTTTTACTTGTAAAACTAGTGATTTTTCAATAGCTATAACAGAAGTTATTGTAGTAATAGAGGGCCTCAATGTTTGCTCACAAATGGGGTTGCAAAGTATTAAGGTGCATTTCGACTGTGCTGAAGCCATTCGACTTATTGTAGGAGTAATCAATGCCAACCATCCTTTAGGAACATCATTGAATTAGCAAGACTCTTTTTCAAAAGGAATTGGCAAATCTCTTTTTAATATTCTTGCTGGGAAACTATCCAATGTACTCACCACCTTATTAAACTCTCTCATGTCCTTCGGGCTAGGGGTCTTTAATGTGCCCTTTTCTAATATTCATTGTAATGCCCTAAATTTTTAATTTTATTTTTTATTTTTCTTTGGATCATTTGATTCTACTTAAAATAAAAGACATCTGGATATCTAAAAGTTTCAAAATTGTGAAGATTTGTATTTTCTACAATTTTTTAAAGAAAAATATTAGACTTATACCCTTTTATTTTTAAAAAATCATAAAAAATATAAATTTTCACCATTTTGAGACTTCAAAATATTTAGATGTCTCTTATTTTAAGTAGAATTCAATGATTCAAAGAAAAACAAAAAATAAAATTGAAAAGGCATTAAAGAAGGACATATTAGAAGCCCCTAGCCCATATCCTTCATCGTAACTTTTGCTCTTTTAATGATCCCCCAACTTTATGCAGGGAGTTGGTGGATTACGAGAAAATGTTGTGTAATGTAGCTTAAAGACTTTGTTGTTGATTTTAGTTTTGTTTTGGTAGTTTCAGTTTCTATTTAAAAAAAATATTGACATGCACACTTGGCATGCCAGGTAGACAAATTCTAGTCAAATTTTTTTTTTCTCCCCTCATCTAACAATCAATGTTGGACTAATCTAACGATAAGGATAAAAATATCTTAAATTTAATTGTTTATGGTGTAAAATATATTAATTACAAATATAAGGTTTAAATCGTCCCCAAACGTCTAGTTCATAATTCGAATTATATATTAACCTTTGTTTAAATTTAAATGTTTTTTATTTTTTGTAATAAAAAATTTATAAAATTTTAAATAAATTTTTAAATTACCAATATACACATTTTATATTTAATCATATCAATCCAAATTTAATATTAATTTTTTTATATTTTTATAAATTAATCATACAAATTTACTTTATGTTATTCAGATTCAAAACTTTTAACTTATTATATTATCATATTTAAAATATTTCAAAATAAATACATAAGATCAATTTATAAAAAATATAAAAAAATAATATTAAATTTAGATAATATGATTTAATATGAAACGTACATGTCATTTATTAATAGATTTATTAAATTTTATATTAAAAAAATAAAAAAAGTATTTAAATCTACTGAACCTTGCTCATTAGTGCTCCCCATGCGATAAGAAGTGAAAACCTTGCTGGACCCACAAATTTGATATTATAAAAAAATTGGAAGAATATGAGATTAGGGTGATCTCAAAAACTAAATCGGCGAACTAGGCCTCCGGAGCAGCATATTGTATTGGAGGTGTAGGGATTGAGGAATGATGAAATACCTGAATGAGCTCCATCAGAAAGTGAACATCTTTGGCATAGAGCTCGGCGGAGAGATTCTTGACTGCCTCGTGAAGGTCTGGGATCAACGGGTTTTCTGGCCCTCCAATCGAGAACTTCTTCCTCCGTATCCCCTCAATGTGTTCCTTCTCTCTCGGATTCCCCATTCTCACTTCTCTCAAACCTTACAGCCTTCGACCACTCTTTTACACTTCTGCAACACACCTATTCTCGCATATATAAAGAGTGACAAGTGAGTCATTCGTCCTGGGGTCTTCATCTTTTCCTTTTGAGGCTCCTTGAAAGCCAAGATTCCCGGAAATCGCACCTACCCTGCTCTTTTTTTCTTTTTTTCTTTTTCTTTTTCTCATTTCATCTCCACCCTAAATAGTATAAAATCAATAATTCATGTTTACTTATTCTTTTATCAATAAATTTAATTACTTTGTCAAAAAATTGTTATTAAATTTTTATTGCAGTTATAAATTGAATAAGTTGAATTTTAACAGTTTGAACTATTTATTTATTTTACTGAGGGCATTTAATTAAACTGATTGAAAGGATTAAATTAGCTTATTTTTTAATTTTGAGTTCAGATTTTAAAATATATAATCATACTAAACAAATATGAAAAAAGCATCCCAAAATATCAATAAAACTGCGGTTGACAATGGTATAGTACAATTCCATCAGCGAGAGTTTTGATTAATATGACATTTTTATTTAAATTTAAAAGTTATGAACAAAAAAGAAAAAGAGAGCCGCACGAACCCAAAGACAACTTCGCGGACAAGGTAACGACTCGTCCGACAATACCTTTGACCTTTACCATCCCATAGTACGGAAAGTCAGGTACTGTGCGCTCCCTTTTGACGCGGATCCAGTCCCATTCTTCCTTTCTTTTTTTAAATTTAATATCAGTGTATTACTACTGTTACTGTATTATTTAAAAAATTATATTTGAATAATAATTAAAATAAATGAATCGAGAGTAATGAATGGCCTCAACTACCCAATAATACTCCCCATTTTTATAAAAAAATTATATTACACAATTAAAAAAATTAATTATAAGAATTGTGTTTGAAAATAAAAAATTAGACTACTCTGCAAAACAAAAAATACATTAATTATTTATTATTAATGTAAATAGTAAATACTTATTGAAATATATAATTTTATTTATAAAAAATACAAATTTCTCCAACAACTAAAACGGAGGTAGTAAGTAAGGAGTGACCAATGGATGGATTCTTTCAAAGAAACAAAATCAAGTCGTATCTCATCAGATTCTAATTTCAACGCCCTTGGGTTATAAAAAATTTTAATGTGGAAGATGAACCAGCCCATCAACACATTTGGGTATCTTTTCGTATAAGTGGCCCGCGGGCATCCTTTTTCCTTTAACCAAAGTCAAATTTATTAAACAGGTAGTACTATACAATTCAGACTCGGGCCTACATCAACATATAGAAAGCAAATCACACACAGAAGGCCCAAGGGAGAAACCGTTCTTTTAAAAAAAAAAAAAAAGTCAATGCAACTCAACTTGAAATAATAGGTAGGCCCACGGAAGTTGAAAGCTTGCAGGTTGCAGGTGGGAGGAAGAAGCATGCAGACATCACTACTCCTACTTGCATATATGCGGGCATCCTTTTAAGGACTGATGTCTATTATTATTTGGTTGTGCTTCTGGGATTTCTCTCTTGTGATTATTCTTTTATTATAAATATATATACGTATGAGATTGAGAGTGATACACCATCACAATCGCTGTTTCTGCTTCACTTTCGGTCTTGCTCTCCTTTCCCTTTGTTTTTGACTTTTTTCCCCCTGCTTTCTTTCTTCTTGTTCTACGTGGCATTGACTGTTCCTGTGTCAGCCTGGGTATCATATACCTTACTCCCCTACAGAAACAGCTCGTCTCCAAGAATCCAGCAAATCCTTCGGAGTTTTTTCAATCGTACAGCATATTCCATTTTAGTTATTCTCCTAGTTCTTTTTTTCAAAAATAAAATACTACCTTCATTTTCAAGCAAATTATTATTCTAAATTTTCTTACACGTTGACAAACGTATGCTGGCTAAGACGTTATAGTTTTGCATTAATTTTTACTTTTGCCCCCTTTTATCTTTTCCAACCAATTTCATTCTTCGTCTCTGCTAAGACTAAAGCTGATTGATTCAATATTAACGTCTTTCCTGTACAAATCCATGGCGATGGACAAAAAAGAATGATTACTGATCAACGGAGTCTTCCTTCACTCAAAAATCAGCTATGTGTTATTTCTGTGAATCAAATAAGATTTCAAATGAAGCACGAGTAAAAGACAGCAACACGAACAAAAGGTAGGAAAGTGAACATGTTTTGTTTGGAGCTCGACAGAGAGATCAAAGGGTCTTCTGTGTCCCTCCAAACTCAATGTGTTCTTTTGGACTTGGATCCCCCATTCTCAATCTCTTTAATTGATTAATCTCTTTCCTCACTGGTCGACCAGACTTTCACTGAATTAATGCAACGCAACAGGAACCACCTTGCATTAATTCATAATACTTTTGAAACAAGATAATGCTGAAATGAGTTAACCTTGAAGCATCCTAAGGTTCATAAAAGTCCCAGATCTAAATATTGGCGCAAAGAGTTCTAGAAGAGAGGAGACAACTCACTTGCAACAAAATGAAGGCAAGCATGTGAGCACTTGCAAGAGCAGGGCAACTTAAATTGTTGCTGGTCAGACAGTTAAAAAACACAATAATCATAATGTCTCTATTAATTTTAAATGGAATAATTGATTAAATATATATTTTGTAGGTTGGAGTCTTTTCTGGTATATCCAAGTTGAATATTTTAACATACTATAGTCTATTCAGTCAGACTCAATTCATTTCAAAATAATACGTAATATAATATAAAAATTACTTTATGTTCATAATATTATATTGGTTCAAATTTATAATTGATTAATGCCAATACACAAATATTCTAATAATTTTTTTAAATATATTTCTTCTTCAGTCTCACTTTTCCACTAATATTTTTGTGGCTCGCTTCAACTTTGAATGATTCTCATTTTAACATCGTTACAGCTCACCTCATTCAATCGATCGATAATCAATCAAAGTCAAATACGCATGATGAGGCAATTATGACCATGAGATCATTAGTGTGATTGAGAACTTGCTATATTCCCAACTTCAAAGTGATATTAAAGATTGTTGAACTATAAATTTTGACACCAACCCATTTAGGCCAAACATCTGATAATCCAGCTTATTAGGAACCGATTGAGTTCATGATTATGCATCTTGGGGACATAGCAGCACTGTTCATCAGTTGATAAATCTCTGAATGCAAAGCATTGAGTGCACACGGCTTGTTTTATATATTTACCCAATTTCTTCAGGGTTGTGTTTCAGGGAATGACATGGACGTATTTCACGAGGCCACGAAAAGAGGTGTCCCACTGAACAAGCCCCACATGATCGTAGAATTTAAGATAGGAGTGCAGGGAAAAATCAAAACCTCACACTATGATCACTCAATTCAATTATTCTATTCAAATGTAATGTGTTTTCAGTTATGGCGTGTTGACTTGTACGTACTTCTTGTTTTCTCGCATATATTTCTACCTTTTATAAGTAAAACTAAACCAGAGTGCATTCATTGTGCATGTAGAATCCAAAACGAATTATGCCATTCATCATTTACAGAATATAGCTTGCTGACTTTTTCAAATCACGCTGCTGTAGTTTTCTTTGCTTTAACTAACATGTATCATTGATGGTCTGAGGATGTTATAACCCATTTTGTCTTTTTTTTTTTTTTTATTTTCCATGCATCGAACTTAACGGGACGAAGAAAATGTTGAGTATTGACACCTAATTTGACCATTGATCGCGGTTTGTTAATTTTTTTGACAATTATATACTTTCTATGGTTTATAAATAATACAGTTTATTATATATATATATATATATGGGGTTAAAGTACAATTTTATCTCTAAATTATTATTATTAGAGGAATAATATTACTTCTAAGCTACTCATTATAACAATGTTACTCCTAAATTAATTAAATTGAAGTAATATCGTCGCCACCGTTTAAATGTTCAATAATTGTAACTAGTGGGACTCACTTTTCATAAGTTAAGATGTAAGTTTGCCTCTAAACTATTCTCAAAAGAGTAATGTTCTCCCTAAACTAATTAAATCTGAGCAATATTGCTCCTGCAGTTTAAAAATCATAACTAGAGAGAAACAATAAAAAGTATTTTTTGCACAAGTGCCATTCTAGTCCATTCACATCCTTTCTAACATTCAATATTCATGTGAAAGTATTTATCTATATCATGATATTCTCCATCAACATTCTAACGAGTCGTAAACTATACATTGAGAAAAAGCTCAATTTTTGTACTAATTTCCTTTAATGACGAGTATGACATTAGTTGAAGTATAAATTCACATTGACAACACTACAAGGGGAGCTCTTGATCCAACAAAAAGTATATAAACAATACTGTCAAGATAAAAATGTTGCTTCTTATCATCTTGACTGAATCAACCTACAAAATTGACTATCATAAATAAATATACTCTCTCATATATATTGCAGGCAAAAAAGCCTATACATAGACCGTCATAAAGTGGTTATCCAAAAATCAATTCAGCAATTGAAATGCCATAGTCTAGTTGAAATCATGACCTAATTCAATGTTAAATAGAGAGAGATAGTAAAAAGTAGGTCTCACTGGCTATAGTTAATGGACGTTTATGATTTTTAAACTGCAAGAACAATATTGCTCTTTCGAGAATAATTTAAAAATAAAATTGCACCTTAACCCATGAAAAGTAGGTCCCATTAGTACAGTTAACAAACGTTTAAACTGTGGAGGCAACATTGTTCCGATTTAAATAATTTAAGGGCAATATTATTGTGATAAATAATTTAAGGATAATATTACTCCTCTAAGAATAGTTCAAAAGCAAAATTACACCTTAACTCTTATATGTATATATATATATATATATATATATGTATGTATATATATATATGTATATATATAATCAATAAGACAACATTACTCAAAAGATCGAGTCATCGACCCTTGAGAAGTAGGATGACATTCATGTTTGGCAACTTCACAGCTCACGTATTGATTTGGAGTCTTGGATGTTAAACCTTCTTATAGAATAATGTTATTACCAACAA